TAGGGTGCAGCCGCTCGCCAGAAAGACATAGACAGACAGAAAGCAAGAAATCACCCCCCAGGGGGGATGGTCACGCCGCAATCCCTTCTCCTCCATTCTCCTCCCGGGATCTTGGGCACGCACGCACACGCCCGGTGTGAGTTTAAGCCACCAGGTCCGGGACTTGAACCACGGTCGACTACATGGGAGTTCAGTGACATAGCCATTACGCCAACTGCTGGCCCTTGTGGTCCATTTTCAAGAACACCTGCCTTCCCTTTATATTCTACAAGTAGAGCAGGTCTGTCAGAGGGTGACTGCTGTGAGGCCTAAACTGAGGGTACGAGCTGGACTTGGCGTTTTCACCGAGCAGCTCACCAGGAGGTCATGCTGACGGTCATGTCCAGGCTGCCCAGGCTGCCCAGGCTGCCCGCTGGTCTGCTCGGTGAAGGGGTGGGGACGTAATGAAACAAGCTCCCGCTCTCCCGCCAGCAGCTGACATCTTCGAGCCAGGGGCATTCATTTCTCATAGCCCTGTCACTCATTTCTCAGGTGGGGCCGAGAGGCGTGCCGGGTGCGGTGACCTTAGCTGTAACCCGCTGGCCTCCGAGGGCAAGCTCAGACTGCGCTGAGCACTGTCAGTCACTCACCTCCAGAACGCCTCATTCCTAAAGGTGTCCGGGTTTCCAGGACAGCACGCATACATTCTGACCTAGAAAGACCCCTCATGGCCCTGGGAGGAGGTGACACGAAGTCACTGCCTTTTCCCTCTGCTAGTACAGGGCTCGCACCCTCCACCACCCTCCTGCCACGCCCGGTCTGACCACCGCGCTCCTCCCAGTCAGCTCTAGTTGCAGAGTAACTCGACAACTCCCAGCAACACCGCTGCTTCCGTCAACTACTGGACTTTCACAAACTAACGTCACCAGCACCAAAGAATTAAGTCGACTAACCTGCCTTGAATTTTAGACCAGCAATCCGTATGGCTTTATCTGGTATAAATCTTCTGCCTTTGACCATTTCTGGACCGTGTAGGAAAAAGGAATAGCAATCATTAAAATCCTGGGCCAGAGAACACTATTTTTACATAACAGTTTCTTAACCTAAAGCAAGGCCTTGCACTCTCCCTGAGGGCAGCCTGCGGTTCCTTCCTGCTTTGATTGAGGGCTAACATCCCGTTAGTGCTGACAGCTCCCACAGGAGTTCCATCCACTGCCTCCTAGCAGGACACGTCTGACACCCGGTGCTGGGTTGGAATAAGCAGCACATTGTGGTAACACACGAGCAAATTCATCTTGTATCATCATTGGCAGAAGGTATCTGGCAAATTTTTATGTATTGTTTATGTACTGTACAAGTAACTTATTCTTGAATAATGCAAATTTTGCTATAATGTACAAATTGCTGTATGTGAATTAAAGAGTTTTCAGAATCTTGATTTGTTGCAACAATATTTAAAGGGTTTACTTTATTAAGACCTTATGTTTTGCCCTTTGTCCTCCTCCCACATTGGGGGCTGTTAAATGTTTGCGTCTATACACTTTACATCTGGTTAGCTTTTTGGCTCTCTGGATTTCTTTACTGCATTTTTTGGTTGTCTCCTGCCCCCTACTGGTAAAACAGATGCCCGCATTGGGATGAGGTGTCCCGCTAACAGCACGTTTGGGGCCACGCAGGAGATGTGAAAAGGAAGCTTACAGAGCTGGCGTCAGCCCCCGGGGCAGGGACTCGTGCTGCCCACCTCAAGTCAGCCTTCCTCCTCCTGAAGCCGACCTCTGATCCACCACAGGGAGGGTCTCTGGCTTGTCTCTTTCTAGACACCTTGAACCAGAACTAAAGGTGAAGAAAAAAAAACATTTGACAACCACCTTCCAGGAAACTGAAAAAGCCCCCTCAACCCACCTGCCTTGACAGAAGTACCTATGGTAGAAAGAAGTGGCTTACACAAACACACAGTAACTGGGTATCAGTTTTTAAAACTTTTTTTTATTTTTTAATTTTTTTTAAGTTTTTATTTTATATTATCTACAAAGTAAAAGTTTTTCCCTTAACTTAAAAGTTGAACCACTGTAGACAGTGATCACCTCATCAAACTTGATTTATAAATAATAATCCGTCAGTTTGACGGTAAGAATTTACTGAACCTTTGTCAAGTTTAGTAAAAGGGCGTTCCAAGTCTTGATCTTTTGTTTTTGTTTTTGTTTTTTTTAAGCAGTAATAGCAGCAAGAATCACTCTTGTTACTTCTTTTGCTAGCTGATGTGTTCATGACTTTCGAGGGTCGTTAAAAAATAAATAACTTCCAGTTTCGGCAAGCAGAGCTGGGGTACTTGCGGGACTGAAACAGCATATGGAATTATGAACAGCCCACAAGTTCCTAAATGCCTCTACTCGGTCCAAGTATCTTCCACTGCAAGTGAACTGTTAGCATTCCTATTGGATGTTACAAGAAATCAACATATATTTTTAAAAACAAAATAAATGAAATTCTAGTTTTCTGTGCTTCCAGTTGGTAGAAGCAGTAGAAGGGAGGAGGGGATCTGGCCTTTCGGTTCCTCCAGGGCAGCCTTACAACTGCTGCTGGTGGTGGGCTTGTACTGTAAGAAAGAAGAGTGAGCATTTAAACAGGAAACGGGCAACAGCACACATCAGCCTAGGGGCTCTGCGGCACACGACTGTGAACTACCCTTGTGCTAGCTGAGCAAGACTCAGAATTTAATCTGCTCCCCCTCTCCCAGCTGCACCATGGTGGGGGGGGAGGGAGAAACAAACCAGTCAGACGTAAAACCACTTCAGATAGAACTCCCAGAAGACTTGTTGCTCATGGGGTGGAAAAGGCCTTACCATATCCCCTCCCCAGTACTAGCCAAGCACCAGTGTTGCTTTCAGAATACAGGTTAGACTGAAGTGTCGCCATGGCAGCCATCAAGGATGAGCGCTCGGTCACGGGGCGGTCTCTCCCGGTCTGACGGGCACAGGCGGGAGCTGACACTGCACTCGCACACTACCGTCCATCACAGCACTTTCTCGTGTCTTCTCCAGAGCTACCATCAGACTCTGCCATGGCCATAGCCCCCCACGGGTCAGACTGTCGGACTCAGGAAGGAAGCGCTGCCCTAGCCAGCCTATCATGACAAGGAAGGCCAACTGAGTCCTAGGCATGCACCAGCCTCACAGAATGCTGCTGCTGCTCCCAGCAAGCCCGATCCTGCACGTACGTGGACCAGAACACACACAGACTCGGCTCCGGAAGCCTCGGGCCCTGACACTGAGCTGCTCGGCACAGTCCCTCCTGTGCACACTCAGACGGATCTGGCTAGGTCTCAAATGCGGGGCTTGAAGCGTTGGCCCTGCCTGCCATTCAATCTGTGCGAGCAGAATGCTTTGGGGTGCCCCGGCGGCCCCTGCACACACACGCCTCACCTGAAGGGTGCGTCATATAGGGGAAATGCGCTGTTGTCGAGACTGGAATGGGCTGTAGTGCACTTTGAGCGAGGGCGGCCTGGGGACCGCCGGGTGGCTGTGTCGTCATTAGCATCATTGGCGCATGGGCAGTTGGATGAGAAGGAACCATTCCTGACTGTACATGAGCCTGAAACAGAGAGCTCTTTTACGCATACAGGCAACATCTCCGGCTTAAACAACATGTCAACTGTGTTCCTTTCACTGGGATGGGACTCTCAGGAGAGGGCAGTGGCGGGCCTCAGGGCCCCTTCCTTTCCTCTGGGGACACGCCCTAGCAGATCATCGACTGACCTGGACATGCTCTGGCAGAACCTGCCAGGCTTGGGGGCAGGCAGCAGTGAGTCTGGGTACACTCAGGCTGCAAGGTCCTGGCTGTCATTCTCATGACTGCACTCTGGGGTGGGGGGGAGCTTCACAAAGAGCAGACCTCCGCCCCAAGGTGGCCTTCTCAACTGAGGACGACGCAAGGTGCCAAGAGGCTTCCACGTGGGGCCTGGAATGGTCGTGCATCAGCGACATCCCTTTCAGTAGGCAAGCAAATGACTACATTATAAGCAGGGATGGTCAAATGCTCTCACATGGGTTCTTTACCTCTCCTCGCTCACCCCTTCCCCTCCTGCTCACCAAGCAGGAAGGGAGAGAGCTCCCTTTAATTAAGCTCTCAGAGGTCTGTTGATGGAGTGGGAGAGGCTCGCAGTTCATGGCTCCAGTGGGACAGGAAGGTGTGACCTGAAACAACCTGGGCCAGCCCCGAGTACCTGCACCAGGTGACAGCAAGGTCAACCAGGTCTGTCAAGGTGGAAAGGTGACTTTGATCGGCCCAAATAGTGGAACCCCAGCTCTGCAGGGGTCGAGCAGGGCCAGGAAGAGCCTTGTGTCCTGCCTCCCCTATGGCGCACTGTTCTAGACCACGCTAAGCCTTGAGTGAAATGCTGTTTTTACTCTCTCATATTCACACGAGCCCATGGCGTGTTTGGGCTTCCCTGTGTTCACCTTTCTTTCAGCACAAAACCAGAAAACTGGGGTTTTAGGGACACCTGAACTTACAAGTCAATTCACATGCCACCTACTTAGCCACCAGCCTCTGCTAGACATTTGTCAGGACCCAGCTCTCATGAAGCTGATGCCACCAAACCGCACCGGCCCGCACTGACCAAACCGGCTCCCTCCCACGTCAAAAGCCGATCGATGCAGTGTGCTACACTACAGAGCCTGACCGTGGCAGGGTGGGATGCCCGGCTTCCCAGGGCGTGGACCTCTAGTTCCAAGGCAGCCATTTCAGAGATCGAGCCAACTGAGTCACGTCTCTAGCCCACACCTCGCCAGAGCCTCACGGCCCACAGTTTGACAGGAATGGCACTCAGTGAGGCAGGTCTCTCAGATCCACCTGAGCACCTGCGTGAAGTAACAGACATCCACTGCAAACAATTCACCCTCAAGAGCCCAGAGAAGGCTTCGAGGACAGCATAGAGCCCAACCTCAGTGCAGCTCCTTCCCCACTCAGTCACCTCGGCCCTGCCCTGCACTGCACAGGACGGCTGTCTGCAGCTGACGCAGACAGCAACCAGAGATGGCAACCGCAACTACAAGCTTCAGAAGTTGACACTGGGGTGAGCTCCAAAGTGCTTCCAGGGGTGCTCGCTAAGAAAAACAGGGACATGGGGTGCTTCCAGCTTCCAGTTACACTGCACCACGTCCAAGACCGAGACCTCTCAAGAAATACAAAATATGGGCAAAGAGGATTGTGGATCACCAGGGAAAACAACTGGAGAGGCTGCTCTGAAACTCGTGTGACTAACGTTCAAGCTGACAGGCCCAGGGCAGTCACCTCAGAGAGCTGAGAACTGTGAAGGCCCACCATCCCTGCCAGGCTTCCGTGTACACATGTGTGGAGGGCTGTAGTATGTAGACACATACATACTAACAAAGCCATATAGACACAGCAAAGCAGACACAGAGAGGAAAAGAGGGCTGGGTTGCATTCCAGATCAAAGGTGTTTTTAGGTCTCAGTGGAGAAACGGTAAAGGACTGAACAATCAGCAACTTTGCTGATGCCATTACAGACCACGCACACAATCACTGAGGGCCAGATCACGTGTATTTGAACGGGAAAGGGGAGACAGGCAAATGGCACCACACACAGGGTTTCCTGGCCTGGAGAGCATCTGGCCCTCGCTGCCTAACTGACACCCTTCGTACCGACTTCGTCTTCACAGGAGTTGGCTAAGGCTGGTTTACCTGAGGTACGTGGGCCATGTGGGGTGGGTTGGTATATGCCGGCTGAACATGAGAAGGATGGATCGTAAAGACGGTCTGTTGTGCTGTTGGGAAACTATTCTGTGGCGACTGCGTGTTGGAGGCAGGTGTCATGGAAGGCGGGGTTGGCGCGAGCCCCGCATGGTAAATGGCTGACTGCTGCTGTGGACTGGCCAGATGGAGAGCCTGGGCGGCCTGGTGCTGATGGTGCTGTGAGGGAACGGGAAAGAAGTGAGAGAAAACCTTCAGTGAAGAGCAGTTAAGGGTCACACACAAAGCTGAGCACTGCGCCCACCTGGGCTGAGTATGGGAGAAGGTACAGAGCAGTACCGCGTGGGGCCAGGGCACCTCCGGTCCACAGAGCTGGCCTTCTGGCGGGCAGGAGCCTGATCCCCAGCCTGGCAATTAACAAGCCCCCACCAAGCAGAGGTCAGGTAAGACTACTGCCCCGGAGAACTGAGATATACCAAAGAGATCCTTAACTGCCTTTGCTAAAAAACCTAACAATAGAGAATGGGGGTAAAATCTGATCACAGGAACTTTAAAGAAGTTTAAGAAGTTTCAAGGGCCCAGTTGCGCTGGCCTAGGAGGCCGGTTGCTGCTACGCAATACTGGAGCCATAGGGGAAAGCTCAAGGTTCAGATTCCCAGGTGACATGAACGCACAGTATGCCTGTGGTACCATCTGGCTAGAAGACTGTGGGAAAGACAGCACCAGACACCAGAAGTCTGTCTGTCTCTCTCTTGTGAAAGAGATAAACTTATAAAAGGTCCAAATAGAATTTGCTTTGAATGATGAACTTCATTAAATCTGATTCAACATTAATAACTTTCTAAATCCAATGATTTATTCTCAATGTGCATTTTTTTAAAAGTTTGTTTATGAGACTGGGTGCATGTGTATGAGAAAGAGAGAGAGAGATGGGGTCCTGACAAGGTCTTGTCCCTCCCCACAGCCCTCCAGCTTGTCAGGATCTTGGGTACACACATGCACCTTGCACGTTTCCAGGCCAACTAGGGATGTGAACTCACTGCTGGCCACTCTGCTTCTACCACTGCGGTTCAGTGTTATGACCCCACCGCCAGGCCAGGCCTTGATATGAATCTTAATGTGATTTAGAAACGCCAAGTCCCAGGGGCACAGCTGTATGCCACCTACCCCCAAGGGCAGACATGCTATGCGGTCTGATTGCACAGTGCCTGGCATCTCGCTTGGCACTGAAGCACTCTGTCCCTTGGACGAGGAAGCGACTGAGCAGGCCCGCACTTCTCCTTACCTGAACGGGACTGGGAGCAGGATGGCTTCCACCATGCTGGCTCTGCTGCTGTCCAGTGGGGGTGGCTGAAGGCTGAGGATGTGGAGTATGTGGGTGCAGGCTAGTGTTAGGGTGCGCATACTGCTGAGCAAGGGAGCCCGTGGAAACTGAAGTGAAAGAAAAAGGACTGTGTACAACCAGCACGCGGGCAGACATCACCGCTCCTCTATGCCTCATCAACTGAACGTGCTGGATGGCGCGAAGTCTAACTTAGCCACTACTGATCTCTACAGTAGATTTCACTGAAACCATCCATCGTCTTGAAAGTATATTATTGCTTAACAATCAATTAACATTTGATTCATATAAAATATAACTGTATGTATTATGTTAAAATAGAATTAGTTTAAATTTACTATTAGAAGACAGCATAGGCAGAACTTAAACACATACACACATTCTCACATGCATACTCCAGCGCACATGCATGCGTGTGCGCGCAAGCTCGCTCTCTCTCTCTCTCTAAGCTCAAGGCCATCGTCTGGCTAACCTCACCATGCTACTGTCTTGGACTCAGTGTCCTGCAGGCACAGACTGTGCCAGGGCTGGAGAGGGACGGTGTTAGGTATGCGCGATGCTGGGTTCCATCATCAGATACGGCCAGGTGACATGACCCTCTCTCTTAGGCAACCATGGGAGCCGCTCAGTTCATTCCTGGGTCCTACTTAAGGATCTCCTAATTTTGCTTAATTAAGTCTAATGCATGAAATTTAGCTATGTAGGAAAAGGAACTCCTTCAAAGCACCCCAGTCCTTTAGAAAGACTTTTACTACTAGTTACAGTAACTTCAAAGGAAATATGATGGGCCAGCTTAAGATGTGGTCATTAAAAAGGACCCAAAGCCAATTCTCTGTGAGTCTCAGTATAGGCCTACCTTGGTACAAAACAAGATCAGTTACCAATTAATTTGTCCATGTCTTCAAAAACAGTGGTTAGAGAATCAAGACCACAGGCAGAAGTGCTGTTCGCCTGCAGTGAGAATGAAGAGCACACTGATGCCCATCTAACCTCGATGCAGCAAGGAGCTGAGAACACCAGCTACTCTCGAGAATTGAGTAAATCCCTAAAATCCCTCAAATCCCTCAGAGGATGAGCCCATCCACAGGAGTGATTCCAGAACAGTCCTTCGCTTCCTCCATAGAACATGTTAACAAACACAAGGCACGTAGGGAGCTGAGGGGTAAAGCAAGCACCCTTGGGATCAGGCACCTTCGTGTCCCTTGTCTGACAGACAAGGCTGCCCAGGGCCAGCAGAGAAGACTCTCAGAGCGTGCCAGGGCAGCACAGGTGTGGTTCTGGGATGCTTGCCTCCCGAGTGCCAGGGGCCAGAGCTCCAGCCCAAACGGCTCCATTTCCAACCACCAATGTGCCTCTCAGAGGAGGGGAGGGCGAGGCAAAGAGCCAAAGAGGGAAGGTGCTAGGACCACCTGGCACCACCACCAAGGCTACAGCCGGCATTCATGTCTTTCAGTGCCAGTTCGGGCTAAACAGAGCACAGGGACAAGGCTCTAACCCTTAAGAGTTAACATATACCAGAACATCTTCACAAGAAAATCGTGGCAACATACTCTGTAGGTTTTTAAGGACAGAGACTCGCAGGAGCTGAGACAGCTGTGCTCACTGCCGTCTTGGGTTCCCCGTCTTCTCGCTCGTTGTGTACCTCACCAGGCTCCCTAAAGTGTATAGGCACTAACTTGGTCTAAAAGGCTTGATGTAACATTTTGAACCTGATGGTTAATTCTGGTAAAAATTTTATACTCATTTAATTAAAATATTTATGTTTGAATGATTAAAACAGCCACATGGGGGCTGGCAGGTGGCATGGTGGTTAAGGGCGCTGGACTCCCATATGAGTGACCGACTGCAGTTTGAGTCCTGGACCCTGGAGGCTTTCTTTCTCTTTCTCCCTCTCCCTTTCTCTCTGCCCCTCTCTGGTAAATTAAAACAAACAAACAACTAAATAAACGTACGCATGCATGTATGTTAAAAAATTTAAAATGACAACAACAAAAGCCAGCTGCAGGGCCACCATGCTGCACAGCAGGGTTAGGCGGCACTTCCATCGGCACAGACGGCGCTGCTGCATGGCGCTGCTGCCGGCACACGCGGCCTGTATTTCTCAGCCACTAGTATCAAGCTCAGCCCTTCTTCCGGCTTTCTCGATGGTCGTATGCAGCAATATTAAATCTGTCATAACGTACAGAATCTCATGTTTACAGGGTTTTTAAAAACCTATTAGATAGTGTACTGAACATTTTAAATTTAACTCTTAATTACCTTCTAAATATTGCGACTACTTTAAGAATACATTTTTAAAATGCTCTACCTGAGTGCTGATGTTATCACTATACATAAAACATGGCCGTCACAAACAAAATGATGATGCCAGCAAAGTCTATCATAACTAAGTTATTTATCAACTGGGAAACTGTAAAAATCTTGAAATTGTTTAGAAAGAAAATTTAAGCTGAAATGCTTTCACTGTGCATTTCTAAAAGGCACCTCTGTGATATAAGTGTACCGGTAATTTTTCCCCCGAAAGATTTTTGGTATAGGGTATGTGCGCTTGCTGGAGAGATGGAAAGACAGAAAGCAAGAAATCGCCCATTGAGGGGATGGCCAAGCAGCAATCCCTTTTCCTCCATCCTCCTCTAGGGAGTTTGGGCATACACACACATGTGTCTGGCATGAGTTTTAAGCCAAAGTGTAGGACTTGAACCATGGTCGACTTCGTGGGAGTCCAGTGCCATAACCATTATGCCATCTGCTGGTCCCCAGTGTACCAATATTTAAAGGCTACAGATTCCTAACTTACAGATAATTTGTATGCACAGCACAGAAAATGTCAAGGAACCCAAGCTGAGAAAGTCTACACAGGCTTTGCTTTAAAAACACCACCACCAACAAAAGCCCACCCTTTTCCTACATAAATACTGGTAAACTACAAGGCATAATTGAAACAAAACCAAAAACAGAAACAAGGAGATTACATACAACACAAGCTGCAAATAAAACTTAAAGAAGATTTAATTAGAAATTATTTTGTCTTCTAACTCAAATGAACAAAAGGCAAGTACTCTATCCAGTAACTCTTTAAAAATTATTTAATTTTATTTATGATCTTTCAATTGCTACAGGGCATGCACACCTGAGAGAGAGAGAGAGAGAGAGAGAGAGAGAGAGGGAGGGAGGGAGGGAGGGAAGGAGGGACGGAGGGAAGGCGGACTGGCGGAAGCCACCAGGTCCAGGACTTGAACCACAGTGGGCCATGTGGGAGTCCAGCACCTTAACCACCATACCACCTGCTGATCCTTCCAGGAACTCCCCCACTTTGAACAACAAAAAAGAGTAACTAATAGGGGTGAAACTCTTTATTTTAATTCAATTAAAGTGTGTATTCTTATATATATATATATATATATACATGATTTCTTGAAAGGACTGATAAGAGTAATACAAAGTGAGGTAGGAAGAAAATTTAAAAGCCAAAGGGAAAAAAATTCCAAGGGAGGGGAGAGATAAGAGAAAGGAGCAAAGGTGGGGTCAAGAATGGGAAAAGGGAGCAGCAGAGTGGAAGGGGAAGCCAGGTCTCAGCTAAGTGAGCTATTTAACTGTTTCCGTTATAAGTACTCATTTTAGCTAAAGACTCTAGGGAGGTTAAAAATAAGGAGAATTTTCTTTGAAATTCTGATTTAACAGTTTCATGGTCACCTTTTTATTTATAAAACTTGGGTAGCCTTTGTGAGATCTCCTAGATTGGATTACAAAAATCAAGGAAATATTGCCTCTTCAACCTAGTTCTGGTCCAGAAACTTCCCAGTCAACAAGTTCCTTGACATAAATATTTAACATTCTAAATATATGATAAATATTTAACACTCTAAATATGTGACTGGTCAAATCTTTGTGACACTAACTGCATTTCAGACCCAGTGTCCTAAGCCATGCTCTTCCGGAAGTGACTCCAGCCCACAGGCTGTGCTGAGATTTTCAGTGGGGCCTGTCCTTTTGACCTTGAATGCACAGTCATGAGCAGTCGCCAGCACTGCAAGACTTCAAAAGCCAAACAAAATAAAATCTTCCGACTCCTCGATCTGATGTTAAATTCAGAAAAAGGGAAGTGAAGTAGAATTAATTCTAGAAGGGGAGCAACTTGACAGGCAAACTTGATCAAACCATGACAAAATGGCTTACAACAGGGGGAAATGAAGCAGCAAATTAAATTTAAAAAGCAGCCCAACTGTTAGTTTTGTTTTTCTCTAAGTGCTGACATTCCCTTTCAGGGTAAGTTGTGTAAGGAAATTAATGCTTAGGCATGATGATTAAGGGTCTTTCAGCTACTTACCAGGAAAATGACCTCCCAAACTACTAACAGAGACAGTAAGATGGTGAGGATAACTACATTTGTGACCTCAAACTGAGTAAATAATAAAATTAATTACTGACACTATCGTTTACACACTATAATCACAGATATAGTGGTTTCCTTTTAGTAATATATGCATACAGCAAGACTCCTTTTTAAAGAGCATCTATTAAAGGATTAAATTTGTTAACATTTCCTAGCACCAAATAAATGATATATACATACTTATTTTATCAAGTTATTTTTGGATACCAAGTCACGGCATAATTACCAAAAATTTCAGAACAAAATGTTTTCTAAATGCTAAATTTGCCATTTAGTAGTGAGACATTAAATCATTCCAAAAAACTCAAAATTTAATCCCTAACACAAACTTTTATTATTCTAGAATACAGTAGTCACACAAATTGACAGAGTAATGGCATGAAGTCTAAAAGATTTCTACATGTTAGTGCCTTTCCTATGCAAATACCAAAGCCCGTGACTGGCCTACACATGGAGAAAACACATCGTTCGAGCTCACTGTCCAAGCAAGGAAAGCTCTGCCCAGACTGCCTCCACTCAGGAGCCAACATCTGCCTTTTTACTGGTGGGAAATAAAGGGGCCGTGTGCTGCCAAAGACGATCTCTGGCAGGTCATGCTTTCCTCCTTATGCTCAAGACCCTCCTGAGGTGTCTGCTACCTGAATATCTAAAGCCTTTAGTCACAAGACTGAAAAGACAGAAGTGTGGTCACCTAGTATTTCACCATCCCCATTCAATTAAAAATCCTGGTAAAATAAATTTCTTACCAGGATACTGAAAAAACTAATGCCTTAAGTCTTATATAACAAGCTATAAGCTTGGCATTAAAACACACACACACACACACACACACACACACACACACACACACACACACAACTGGCTGTTCAGAAAGTTTCTCTAAGTAAGAAAAATATTAGACATTTCCCAAACAGTCACATGTTTGCTTGGTATGCAAAAATTAATTTCTGAAACAAATAAATTTTTATGAACCCCAGCTTTCTTAAGCTGGGTTATATTTTCTTTTTAAAAATTCAAAATTATTATTGCCATATAAACTTGCAATGATTTTGTCTGGTGCAAGGAAAATAATGTTCAACAAGTCTACTCCCTTAACATGTATTCTTTAAAAAGTGTTTTACTGTACAATTAAAATTAGTATAAAAAACCCAACTCACTGGCAAAGTAGAAAGAAGGGCTTGTCTCCTTGTTGTATGGTAATTTGGGACATGCTGAATTTGGGAAACAGAAAGGTGAATTAGCCTTCTGAGGTGTGCATTTTCCTAGTTTTCTGGAAAGGTTGACATATCTCATAATTTCTCTTTGTATTCATGCATAATTCATTTTTATTTTATGAGAGATAACAGCACTTTAAACACTGTCACAGGATTTTAAAAGATAGGACTGAGCTGGAAGAAACTTTTCTTCTGTGTTGGAATGTCGAGTTCCGCATGCTGACTTGCTTAAATGGAAGAAATAAAATTATTATCTACTCAAACGACCAACATGGCATTCCATGAAACAACCTTGACAGAAATAATGTACCAAAATAAGACAATACTTGCCAACTTTAATTCAAAAGACACATAATTTTGCAAAACATTATTCATAGAAATGTCGTATTCTGAAATGTTTATCAGGCATCTGGTAGTAAATCCCAAAGTTTATAAGCATAATAATGTAAGCATGAGTGTGTTATCATTTATTATAAGCATGAGTATGTTAATAAATTTGTTATTGACGTAATGAGGTAAGCACGAGTATATTATTTATTAAAATACATCTACATAAAGGGGTGTGTGTATTTAAGCATACCTGGAAGGATACACACCAAAATGTTAATAGGTAACTGTCAGGCAGAAGGTTAATGGATGGTTTTTATACTTTTTTGTTTACTTATCTGCATTAACTACTAAAAAAAGATTGTGAATCTAAAACTTCCTGGTGACTGTAGCTAGTAGCAAAGTTTTTCATATTACTTTTTAAAAAAGGTAAAACCCATTGCTACACAAAATTAATGACTTAAAAGACTGGGTATGAGAGAAACAAAAAGGAAAGAAATGTCTTAGGAGGATGTGGGTGGAGTAATGATGAATGTTAAATGAGGCCAAAGAGATGAGGTTTGTGACAAAAGTTCTAAGATAAGCTAGAAGAGTACAAGGTCAACAATTATTTAGTACACATCTCCATTCCAACAATAATTGTCCAGTAATCAGCATATTTAAATTAAATAGCCCCCAAACTTAAAAACAATAATCAGTCTCTCATTTTGCAGTCATTAGTGATCCTCTTTATTCTCAAGTCTTTCGCTATGACCATAACAGCTAATGAACGACAAAAAGTGACATAACATTGTCACCAACATCTGGGTACACACTCTTTTGTTTGCATAAACAATTTTTAAAAAATCTAGATAGTATGTAGCTTAAATATAAACATAACTCATACTCAAAGTATTTGGTTTCTTTGGGAATATAAAATACATATTGTTTAAGGCAAGTACAATATAAGCATTTCTAATGCAACTGCTTTGTCCTAGATTAAAAGAATGTCCTTAAAATTTTGTTTATATTTGGTATAATTATGCTTTGAAAGAGCTCAAATAATTTAAATAAATTACTGAGGATCTAAATGAAGAACTTGCTTATCAGATTCAACTATGGTTTATGATCACAAAGAACAAAATAATTCATTAGTATACTTTTTAGGGTCTGAATACCCAAAAGCAAATCTCTACTAACCAGCAATAATCACACGAAGCCCACGGTCTTGCCTCTAGCCTGCCCCATCAACAGACATCAATTAAATACGACCTGTGCAAACTGCAGAAGTTCAGACTGGGCTGAGCAACATTCTGCAGACAAGAAAGGGGGGCACTTTGAAAACTAGTTTATTCCAGATCTCACGGGACTTGGGTCCAGTGTTTTATTTCATGTGCAATATTTCCTACTCACCCCCACCTGAATGGACTTTGGGGCCAAGGCAACTGCTTTCCAAATGGAAATGTTCTGGGAAGGTAGTTAGAAAAGCGACTAGTGCCTCAAATACCGTATTTAATGTATGGGTTCTTTAAACCAATGGACATGCATCCAAAAGAGGAAGCCAGATGTTGGCAGTGATGGACACGCTGAGGAGGAAGATCCTGCTCAACATCTCAGCATTACTACGTCTCAAAAGCATGGATACACTAACAGCGGTTCTCTAAAAGCAACGGAAATTTCAGCTCAGAGTTTTAGATCTTATTCCAAGGAGAGTATACCAGAAAATAAGAGGAAAGGAATGTTTTTTCCCCTTTTTAGATCATCAGCTATTCACCAGAAATATATAAACAACCATAATGAACTTCTCACCTAAGCATTTAAGCAAACTGGAAAACTTGAAATGTACACAAGCTGCATAAAAGCTAGAGTGATGGATCAAGGGTACCTTTTCATATGCTTAGTCCTGGTTAAGACAACTAAAGACAAGCCAAATGACAGATCATAACCAAAATCATAAACCAAATAAGGCTGTCAGTGTATTTTTCAACTACATTACAGATGGGTTTCTTGGGGGGAAAAAAAGATTTTTAAAATGCAGCAATCACATCGGTTTTTATTTAAAACGCATAATCCACAGTAAAAAGATTCTCTGTAAAAATGTAAAAACCTAATACCAGACTTCGATATCTTGTAAAAAGAAATGCCTTTAATCATATTCGGTTCCTACATGAGTGACCCTTTGTGGCAGGAGTAGACTTCCGCGTGAGGTTGTGCTACTGCACGCAAGGAGAACTGCTGCAGCTGAGCCTGTCTTACCACCCCGCACTGTCAACACGCTTACTGACTTGGAAAAGGAGGGTGCAGAAGGCATAAAAAGCAGTAGTATCTCAAAAAGGGGGTTTGCCAGAAATTTGTAATTCTTAAACAACTAAATTTTGCCTCAACATTTTCATTCAAGAAATGTAAAGTTAACGAAAATGAAAATCGGTAACAAACTTATTCATTCATTAAGTTTAACATAGTCAAAATTTCATTCTCATAGTAGTACACTTTTCAACTGTTACCAATAAACCTAAGTTTATCTTCTACTCAAAAAACAAAAACAAAAATTTTTTTTAAAATACCCGAAATGCCAATAGGAAACCTAAACAACAATATAGGAGTTCTTGGAAATGTTCAGAACAAAACTGACAGCATAATGAAACTGGTACTAACTACAGATGTATTTTAAAAACTATAGTATGAAGCAAGATACACAAGTGGGAATTTTATTTTAAATTCTCAATACTGAAAAAACTTTAGTATTTTAGACAGCTGCTAAGTTGACCTACACAAAATTCTCAGGCCATAAAACAAAGATGGTTAATTTTTTTTGATTATTCTTATATATAAATATTTAATTTTATATAAAATACTTCTCATTTTCATTTTACTGTTCTATTTATATCTACTATATTTAAACTGAATAATGTCTAAAATCTTTTAGATTACTTCACAATTTTAACCACTTAAAATACAGCACGAAGAAACAGTATCATGTTAACAAATAGCAATAAAAATATGTAATGCCTGTGACCCCCAGAGCAAAGTGGGACACTGATATTCTCATGCTAGAGTGTTTATGCCTTTATTCTGGTAAAAATGTCCTTGCATGCCTAGGGGGCTGCACCACGTGCTAACACTGCTGAAGGAGGGACTTGGCTCAGGAAAGATGCTCTGTTCTCACAGCCTTCACAGCACTGAGTTACAGCAGGAGACACATGTGAAACGGGGCTGAGGTACAGAGGTAGAAATTATTTGCCAAGACTTAGGGAGCAGGTCAGGAGTAGAAATTGGTACACACACCTTTTCCTGTAGGTTCTTAACTCTCAAGGACATAAAAGGCCAAGTTATTCTTAAACAGACTATTTTTTCAGCACTCTAAAACAAGTTAAGAATAGTCACACACACTGAAAAAGACAGACAAAGTGCTTCCTACCATACATCGCATGCGTCTGCTCGTGGGCCCCGTACTGAGTTGCTGAAGAAGACACTAAGCCCGCCTGGGCGTGTGTTGGTGGTGCCATCATTCTAGCATTACCCTGTATTACAGGACTATAGACATGAGGGTGCTGTGTGCAAAAAAAAGAAGAAAACATTAAACTATCAAATAAAGCCAAGCAGATTTTAGATTTTTAACTCCATGGTTTCTGGGTTTCCAGAAACAGAAAATTCCAAACCCTTCTTGACTGCTTCTTTTCAAACTCTTAACATTGAATGGTGATCATCAAATATATATCCCCCCTCCCCAATTTCTTAGCTATCTACCCCACCATGACACAAAGTAAAAAAAAAAAAAAAAAAAAAACAAACAAACACCAGAGTAAAATTCTTCCACCACATTGAAAGTTAAAAGTTAAAATTCCCTAACTAGAAGGAAAAGCGTGAGGGAGACCGTGTCAGCGCACCTGAGACTGGTAGTGTGGCACATGCTGAACAAGCGGCTGGCTGGGAAACTGCTGAGGGCTGTAGGCGACATACTGTGCGGAGTAGGCTGGGGGCGTGGCAACGATGGGGGGGCCTGCGGCCGAGGCCGGGTGCATCATGGTGCTCTGATGATGCTGGTCTTGCCGCTGCTGGGGCATATTTGGTACTACAGGAAAAAGAGGACTTAATTATTGTGAGGAAACGGTGTCTCCTGAGCATAACAGGTAACACACACACACCTACTTGGGCCACAGGAGGCTCAGCATCATCTGAGCCTCCTGCCTGCCTCTCCACCACCACTTTACACCACACCCCCTAGCTCCACCCTGCAGCCACTCTGGGTATTTTCCTGTTGCACAGCTGTGCCTTAGCCTTAAAGGCCAGACCCAAACTCCCAGCTGTAGAGTATCTTCAGCTACTCATCCTTTAGGTGTCATTTTGAAAGTAACTTCCTCAGAGAGACTGTCTGGATGACTCAGACTTGATGGAATCCTGTAACAGACTCTCATAGCACCAGGAATGACTTTTCCTTCATTCCACTTCTTAGATTATCTATTGCTTTTTAAAAAACAATCTCTACCACAAGACAATGGCAGGGGTGGGGTGGGTACACCTATACCTTTGATACACCAAATTATACCACTTGCTAGGGAAGGGCACTAGGCTCATTTAAAGAAAATTCAGAGTATGATGAAAGAGGCCAAACAGACTTAACACTCATCTTACCCCCATTTTCCTTAATGCCCCACCATGGAGCCCTATGGCTCCTTGCTTTCTTATACTGAATATGTGTGAGAAGTAATAACCACCCCCTTTAAAAATTACTTTATGTCTTGTATTATTCTACACATATTTCTGCCTATGAAGTTTCTCTGCTAAAGCTTCTGTCAAGAATTCAGCTCAAGGGACCAGCAGTTAGTGTAATGGCTATGTCTCTGGACTCCCATGTAGTCGACTGCGGTTCACGTCCCGGACCCTGTGGCTTAAAACTCACACTGGGCGCGTGTGCCCAAGATCCCAAGAGGAGAATGGAGGACAAGGGATTGCGGCGTGGCCATCCCCCCTGGGGGGTGATTTCTCACTTTCTGTCTCTATGTCTCTCTCTGTCTCTCTGGCGAGCGCACACGCCCTATAGCAAAAACCTCTCCAAAAAAAAAAAAAGAATTCAGCTCAAGGGACCAGCAGATGGCTGGTTTACATTGTTAGACTCCCACGAGTCCTGGACCCAGTGGCTTAAAACTCACACAGGGTAGGGTTGGGGGTGGGAGGGCCAGCAGATGGTATAATTGTTACATGGCTGAACTCCTATGTCGTCTACTGCAGTTCAAGTCCTGGATCTGATGGTTTAAAACTCATCCCAGGCACGTGTGTGCCCCAAATCCTGAGAGGCAAATGGAGGAAAAGAAATTGTGGCATGGCCATCCTCCCCACGGGGTGATTTCTCACTTTCTGTCTCTTATCTCTCTGGAGAGCACATGCACTCTATAGCAAAACTCTCAAAAACAAAACAAAACAAAAACTCACACCAGGTGCGTGTACGTGTGTGCCCAAAACCCCAAAGGAAAATAGAGGAAAGGGGGTTGCGGCATGGCCATACCCCCACAGGGTAATTTCTCGCTTTCTGCCTCTCTGCGTTTCTCTCTCTCCAGGAAGCGGTATGCGCCCTATAGCAAAAATCTCAAAAAAAAAAAAAAAAAAAAAAAAATCCAGCTTGGCTTTCGTTTCCTCTGTGAGGTCTTTCTCAGTTCCTCCAGCAAGGGCTCACTCTACCCGCTGTGTGCTTTTGCTCACGTGTCTGTGACAGCAGCGACAGTTGTCTGTGATCTGTTTCTGGTGGGACGTGAACCGACTTGGAGGAAGGAATCATGAGCTTGTATTAGGTTGTCAGTAAAATCATGACGTATTTTTTGCATAGAAAAATGTGTCATGACTTTCCCAACAATCTAATACTTACAACAATCCATGCTTATAAAAAGGTACAAGGCAGAAAGAATATGAAAATTGGTCTTTTCATAACATCATCAAAACTCATTATACAATAGCTACAAATTTCCTGACAGAATTTTTTTTTTTTTTTGAACAATTAAAACCAGGCTAAACATTTAATGACTGTTGCTAAAATTTAGAAGAGCTATTAGGTCATCTGGGAAGTCATGACATATTTTTCCATGTTTTTCTACACAAAAATGCATCATGACTTTCCTGATGATCTAAAAGTTACCTATTATTTCATCAATTTAGAAAAGCAAATCTGAAGGACCAGCAATAAGCATAATGGCTATGTTGCAGGACTCCCCTGTAGTCGTCTGCAGTTCGAGTCCCGGACCCAGTGGCTTAAACTCATGCTGGGCGCATGTGCGTGTGTGCCCAAGATCCCGAGAGGAGAATGGAGAAGAAGGGATTGAGGCCTAGCCATACCCCCTGGGGGGTGGTTTCTCGCTTTCTCTGTCTTTTTGGTGAGCGCAAAAAAACCTCTCCAAGGAAAAAAACAAAAAGCAAATATAAACAGAAGAATGCAGTAAAGTAAAATATTTTTCTGAATTTAATCTTGAGAGCCTGCCTAATGAAAAGTACTCCTTTTGGTAGATAAAGCTAGCCTAAACTAAGTACCATTTTTATCAGATGAAAGTTTGTCTAATTAAGGTCACTGACTGAGCTTAACTTATTCATTATCATTACCTTTGTTATTTGATTATTACCTTCAGGTACATAAACAACCAACCTGAAAGCTAGTTGAGTAGACTCTTTCCTAAAATTAAACATTTGCATTACTTGGTTATGGGGTGTGTTCTGTTTCTAAAGGAGTCTAACTTAAGCTTAAACCACACTGCATAGACGTTTCCTGTATCAATGGTTCTCGTTTCCTGTATCAATGGTTCTCGATTGGGAGCAATCTGGCCTTTCAAGGGACATTTGGCAATGCCTGAAAGACATTTCTGGTCATCACAATTGAGGGAAGGGAGCTTACTACTAGCTCATCTACAGAGCAGAGATCAGGATGTTGCTAACCACCCTACAGTTCACAGGAAATCCCTCTCCCCATTCAAAAGACTATGCTATCAGTTCTAAATGTCAACAGTGCCATGGCTAAGAAACGGTGCTTTATGTTAGTATGTCCTTGACTATGGCATACTGTATTTTCCAAACACAGCTAACCCTCTTCCCAGGCTGCAAAGAAAGAAGGGGGGAAAAACACAAATGAACGAACAACCCTGCAGTATGTAAGTACATAGAGGACAAAGAGGTGGTTTTGTGCAAAGCTACTACCCCATATAAAGACATGCCCTATACAATTCATAGCTACGTTTCAGAACCAAGCCCTTGACTCTGGCTGTTAACTGAAAAAACACTAAAATACCCTGTCCAGTGCTTCAAATGGTCTAATTTAGTAAGATAGAAAAAGACAAAATTAACACACAGAAAACATTATCTTCATATATGAGGGGCTGTCAAAAAGTCATGGAAAGGGGCTGGCAGACACCATGGTGGCTGGGGCATTTGGACTCCCACATGGCTGACCATGGTTCATAGTATGAGTCCTAGACCCGGTAGCTCACTTTCTCCCTTTCTGTCTCTTTCTGGTCAAGTTAAAAAAAAAAACAGTAATAATGATAAGTAAAATTAAATAAATAATTTTTTTTAAAGAGAGATTTTTGCTATAGAGTGAGGACGCTCACCAGAGAGACAGAAAGAGAGAAATCACCCCCTTGGGGAGATGGCCACAATCCCTTCTCCGTTCTCCTCTTAGGATCTAGGGTACACATGCACATGTACCCAGCATGAGAGTGAAGCCGCTGGGTCCAGGACTTGAACAGCGGTTGATTACATCGGAGTCAGCAACATAACCATTATGCCATTTGCTCGTGCCTAAATTGTTAAAAAATGACTTATTGATTGATTTATTTAAATTTGATTGGAAAGAGAGAGAAAGTGAGAAAGTAAGCAGCCAGGTCCAGGACTCGAACCGTAGTCAGCCACAAGGGAATCCAGTGCCCATAATCACCACGCCACCTGCCAGCCCCACATGATGTACTTTTTTCTATGCAAAAATGTGTCATGCCTTTTCCAACATCCCAACAATATAGTTCCATTAATATGAAATATTTAGAAAAGTCAAATTTATAAAGAAATATTAATGTGCCTAGGAACTTACGTGTGGGGGAAGAAGACATGAGGTAAGGGGAATAACTGCCAAAGGGTACAGGGTTTCTTCCTGAGATAAAATTGTTCTAAAATTGATTGTGGTGATGGTTGCATAACTTTAAGAATATACTTAAAAACTCTAAAATGTATATTAAATGGGTTGACTTTTGTGGTGTATGAATTATGTCCACATACAGCTATTTAAAAACATAAATGGGGGGCTGGGACCAGCAGTTGGCATAATGGCTATGTCGCTGGACTCCCCTGTAGTTGACCGTGGTTTAAGTCCTGGACCCGGTAGCTTAAACTCACGCCAGGTGCGTGTGTGTGTGCCCAAGATCCCAAGAGGAGAATGGAGGAGAAGGGATTGGGGCGTGGCCATCCCCCCCCTGGGGGGTGATTTCTCACTTTCTATCTCTCTGTCTTTCTGGCAAGCGTACACGCCCTAAAGCAAAAACTTTCCCAAAAATAAACAAACAAACAAACAAACAAGGACCAGCAGATGGTACATATAATAGTTACATCGCTGGATCCTCTCATATTGACCGCTGTTCAAGTCCTGGGCCTGGTGGCATAAAGCTCTCGCTGGGCTAGTGTGCATGAATGCCCAAAATCCTAGGAGAAGAACGGAGAAGGGACTAGGGTGTGGCCACCACCCTAGCAGTGGTTTCTCACTTTCTGACTCTCTGGCGAGCCCACATACCCTTTAACAAAAATCTCTGTCCCCCCGACAGAAAAAAAAAAAAAAAACACATAAACAAGTGTATTTGTGAAAATGCGGGGCCAGAAGGCAGTGCGACACGAAACACAATGTACCGAGAGGCTGAGAACAAAGTACAGTGTAATGGGAGGACTCCAGGCTCATGTTCTAAAGTCTCCGTGACTACGGTGGACACGTGTATACCCATGGTTGGGGCTGGCTGGAGGTGGACTAATTTATCAATGCCCTACTGGGGGTGCTGTCTCTGTCACTCTCACTCATTTAAGAAAAAAATAAACTTGGGGCCAGCAGGTGATATGGTG